AACCACCACCTCTAAGCTAGTGTGACCATGCATGCCCCATGAGCAAAAACTTTTAACATGCACCCCAAATTTATGTATCATTTATATATCATATACAGGAATTCCTGTACTACTTTATTATATAATATACACAAAAACTGAAATTTAAAAAGATGATATACTCACACCCCTCTTTGAAGGCCTCTGGTCCAAAAGAAAAAGTCTAAACTCCTTTACATTACATTTAAGGCTGTGTATCATTTGTTCCCTGCCTACATCTCAGCTTCATCCCTCACTACCTCAACCCCACACACCAGATGCTTCAGCTGTAACAAACTGTTTGTAGTTCCCTCGCTGAACAAGAAGTTAAAATTTAACTTTTATTCTTGGAATGAAATCAATCTCTGCAACTTTGCAACTGTCCTTTCCTCTTACTGGAATGTCCTTACTGCCCTTCCCAGACCGGTGAGTACTCATCCTTCAGATCCAGCTCAGGTACCACTGCTTCTCTCTTGAGAGTCCATTATTCCCACCTTGTATGTTTATTTTCATTCTAATATTTTTTACATTGTATTAAAATTACATATTTGCTTTTCCGTCCTATAGGCTTTCCCATAGTGCTTTAGCTCCTCGAGGACAGAAGACAGTCATATTATCGAACCTGAGTCTCCATCACTTAAACATTGCCAAATGGCAGCTGACCAGTTAGGCTAACTCTTGAACTGAACCAACAAAGCCACCTAAGTTTACCATCTATTATCACATTCAGATTAATAACATGTCAAGGGCTGCCAAGTCAGCAGCATGCACAGTCCATACCCAAGAGTCGCCCCAAGAAGTGGGACTCCTTAATGGTCTGAGAGGTCTCCAGTTTGGATGATCTCTTCAATCTTATGACTTCTCTTTCAATTTAAAGGTAGCCATCACCATCACTCCACCCCTAAGATCTCAAACTGAAATTCCTTCTTGGAACTTCAAGACCCAGCTCAAGCACTGAGGTGTTCTTCGCCTTTGTGGTGTACATCATCCCAAGTCCCTCATACCTTCTTGTATTACTGATCTAGTTAGGCCTCTCCTTTCCAGCCCACGTTTCATGGCCAATCATTTCAATTATGCTCTCATTAGCATCAAATTGACCAAGCTCTGTTGATCCATCCTACATGTTCTTTCAATCCCTAACTCCGCGTTAACTAAAAACCTATTTGCTTTGGTTATTATTTAGAAGCCTATTTCTGAGCCTCACCCTGCAAATTCAGACTTCTTTATATGGATCCTCAAAAACTTGTTTCCTCCCTACCAACTTTTTCCCATATTACCAGCCATTTTTCCTCCAGTAAACTCTCAGGGAAAGAGATGTCCTTGGATCCTTACAAGGATAACCTATCTGGATATGATTTCTTCCCAGCTTCTCTAGGATCCTCAGCATCGTCAATTTCACCTTCTCCCCTGACCTAGACCCTGATTCTGTCTCAAGTTACCTTTTTATTTTTCTTTTCATTCATGACAGAATAGCGAGCTCATGTCACCTTTACTTCCTAACATCTCACACACTTCCGACTTGCAGTCTGGATTCTCCCTCTACAAATAATAATTCTTTCAGGTCACCAGTCACCTATGCATTGCCAGATCCAATGGGCTGTCCCATTGTGCCCAACTGCCTGGCATCACTGACATCACCAACAAGCACTTTTAATGTTCCGGGCTCCTTATCACTAACTTGTCTTGTTTCTCTGACCGCTCTGGCCCCGTCCTCTTCACTGGCTCCCCTTCCCAGACCTAGGCCTTAAATGTGATCAAACGGTGTCAGGCCGGCTCCTGCTGCCTTTTTCCACACCTTCTCATGATGGTTCACTCCTGTCACAGCATTAACTCCTAATCCTTGGACTGTTTTCACTGTCAGTCACATTCCTGACATGGCTGGATAATTTTATGTTAAGGAGATTACAATGGACATCCTCTTACATGATACAACTGGATCCCATGCTGGTCACTGAGGTTTTTAAAAAGCAGTCAATGAAGGAATCCATCTAACATAAATAAACACTTTACTTTAAAATATGACTATACTTTTATTCATAAATTCTTTGAGCATTAGGGTCCAGTGACTGAAAATTCTTGCTTAAGCCACCCATACTGAACTGAATAAAATATCCTATCTATTTTTAAGAGCAGAGCAGGAATTTGAGATGTGTGCAACAACTGTGTACAGAATCTTTCAGAATTGTTATTATTTTTTCCCAAATATTTTATAATTCTTTATCATTTCCTTTGCAGAAATTTTTAAAGCTATTTACCTATATTAAGTATTCCAAAGCAGTCAACTTAGTTTTCTTACACACAGTTCTCCTTAACACTAAGGTTTCATCACTTCATCTGATACTCAATTAAACTGCCTATCACAACAACAAGTACAGGACAAATGGATTCTGGACCATACACAAGGCACTCTAGCTAAGCATCCAACTCAACTAGTAGAAACCAACATATGTGGTTGTACTGGTGAGGAGCCTCCCAGCCACAAGCAGTAGCATGCTGTAGGGACCAGCCGGTATGTTTCATAGAGAACGAGGAGAATGACGGCTCATTTGGTGAGGCGCTGAGATGAGGGAGAGAGAACAAGTCTGCATGTAAAGCACGCTGGGTCAGGAATCTCACGAGGCAAGAACGACATCCAGTTGTCTCCACACCTCCACTCTTTTCAGTGGGACAGTATTTCTAGACATTTTTTTTCCAGGAAAAATGATGAATAAACCCCTAAATAACAGATATGTCTCTTTGTGGCCAACTTCCTATGTCTTTAAGGACTGGGAAAAACTTACTTAATTTGTCCATGTGCTTATAATAGCGGAATTCTCTCCCCGTTGAAAATAAAAATTAGGATCTTACCCTCCTTTTTCTATTGTCTAATATTCAAGTGATTATCACTAAAAAGTTTTAAAGAATGCACTTCGGAAATACAGAATACCATCCTGCTGCCAGTATTTGGGGAATACAGAAAACCATCCCAATGCCAACGTTTTAAGTCAAAAAAATAAATAACTAGTTTCAGTAATAATGTAGATTATTTGCCATATGTGGCACAAATGAAAAGGTGAACCTTTCACATTACCCTCAGTGGTTAGAAGTGAGGTTAATTCAAAGAATCCAGAACTCGGGAGATGACACTGACCTTTGTTATTTATTAACTTTGAGGGTTACTAATTTTGTTTTTTGTCCCCAAAAGTTAGTTTTTCACAAACTTAGAAAAAAGCTTCCAAAAACAATGCAAGTTGAATAAAACAATTGAAGGAAGTCACATCTTTTGTTTTCCTGCAATATATATAAGAAAAACAAAGGGAAATGCAACTTTTAAAACCTTTGAAATTGTTTGTTTGTTTGAAAGAATACTTTTTCTCTTTTTCTCCACTAATGTCCTGGAAGGGCAGTTACATTCCATTTTTCTTACTGATTTCTTTTTCATGCTTTTGAAGTATTAGCAAAATACTCAAGAGGAAAGAATTTTTAATGAATATTGGTACCAGAAAAACTAGATAATATGTAATAATCAGTTTATGGTTTGTTCAAATTTGAAAGCTTTAATTGGCCGGTAGGTGGGTTGGGTGTGCTGTTAAATGTTTTATCATAATTAGGTATATGTGTACAGTCAAGGTATTTTGGCATAAACTGAATTATTCTATTGGGTAACACACAATACTACCTAATCTTTTGCTATCTACTGGTCTCATCCTTTTCTGTGAATAACATCATACAAAAAAAGAGAGAATGCTTCAGTACTGAGATGAAAGTAAAGTTGACATTTTACATAATCTATGTCCCTGCCTGTCTTGTATGTCTTGCAATATTAACTTGATTGCTTTTTTCTTCTTCTTAAGTTATATAAGACAACGCTGGTTGACTAAGAGAAGATTTTATAAGGATTCCAAATCTTATTTTAAACGACTGATGGAAAATAATATACATGAGTACTGGTTCATAAACTGATTAATAATGATGTTAGCCATGACAATACATTATATCACATGATCATTTAACATTAATTTCAACAAACTGGTGATGAACTTAATCTAACTTCAGTCAGTCAAATAGAAATCCAGCCAAAACAAGTCTAATCAATTATAGTCATAGTAGGAATAAGCCTGTATACCTTCTCTCTGGAGGGTTACTCACTTTTTTGAAAACATCTAAACAGATAATACATAAACAATTGAACTGCAAATACACTGGAAAATCTTTAATCATTCAGTAGATCTAAAAGTCAATACTAGTTCATATGTGAAATATAATAAGCAATAATTCAGTCTTACTGGTTACTGAAGTGTCTCTCTGACAATAGTGATTTCTTGCTAATGAGTATTTAAAAAGGAAGGGTTTTGGGCTACTCAGAAGTTTGTGGTTTTTCCTATTTCTTACTAATGTCTCTCCATGACCAGTAAGGGTCAACATGACCAAGAATATGTTCCACTGCCAGACCTTCAAAAGTTCCTTAAAATTAAAAAACAATTTTGGGCACATTAAGTATCTCAGAATACAGTTCATCAGACCGTCTAACTTTACAGATGGAGAAACTGAGCCTGGAAGAGGGAAGAGACTCATCCAAAGTAACCAGACAGTGGCAGACAACCCAACCCTAGAGGACCCCCAGGGGTTCCAGTGATTGCCGGACCAAGTACAGGGGCCTGTCTCTAGCACCAGGTCCTCTCCAAGTGGCCCACTTTGCACAATGGAAACCAGAATCTTCTTAAACCATGGTCCCAACCACCTCAAAGTTAGCACTGTGCTGTCCTCACATATCATAATGGTCATTAGTAGAAACTCTTGCTTGGTCTATGTGTCACATTTAAAAGAGAATATCAAAACACTTGTGAATACATAAAACTCAAAAAAACAGTATTAAGCAAATGTATTTTTGATGCAAACTGCCTGATTTAAGAAAAAGGAATGAGTTCTTTCATGATCGAGAGAACATCTGACGTGAATTAGCTCTCATTTACTCTAAAGTGAAGAATCAAATGCAAAATTACCTTTGAAGGTCTCAAGTTCTTTCCTGCAGGAAAAAAATGAAAATGTAAATTTAAAGTAAACTATTCCCGATGGAAACCACTTTTAGATTGTAATAAAATTTATATATTTTAAATGCCCAGAGTCTCATATTTCTGGATGTTCACATATGCTTTACTGAAATTGGGAATACAATTAGCCTCAAGCCAGTATTTCCAGTTTTTCTACTAATTACATTATAAATGACTAAAAAAATATTCTACCAAAACTTAAACTGTTAAAGCACTGAAAAAAGAAATACAAGAAAACATGGAAATAAGAAAACACAAAGCATTTTAATGCTGGCTTTGAACCATCTCATATATGTAAGAATAAGTTTATAAAATTACGTAACAATTTTCCCTCCATTGACCAACATTAAATAATAGATTTTAAAAGTCTTTAATTAAAAATCATCTGGAATAGGAGCAGTTATTTCTCCCTTTAAATGAATGAGGAATGCACATATCAAAGTACTAAGGTCCGTAGCTCTTCTGTCACAAAAGGAAACTTCCAGTAAACCTCTGGCTTTAATTTTGCCAGTGTCAATTGAGGATGCCGAAAACACAAAAGTTTCTTGGGGAAATGTACAGTGGGAGGGAACAGATGAACAATCATAAAACAAACATGTCATAAAACAAAAAAAAAGAAGTCAAAGCAAGTTGCTTTCAGGTTCCACTTCAAAATTTTTAAAAAAATTTTTTGCTCATTATCAATAATAGTAAAAAAGCAATCTTGAGGAGGTTAAGTTTATTTATCCCACTCAGAATATGAGACATTCATCTTTTATTTGCACTCCAGGTTTTACTAAAACTAGAGATATTTTTAACTCTCAAATGGGTATTCCACACTAATTACAATACCCCTCATGTTCCAAAACAGTGACTACAATTAACAGCTGGCAGGGAGGACTGGCAAGTTGCCTGCTGGGAGACCACGCAGAGAGCGTTCCTGTGATAGCCCAGGAAAAGATCTTAACTCAGATGGCCATCTCACTCCTCTTTTCTAAAAATGCCAACTCCTCATAATACTGCTTCAGCACAACAATTCATTAACTAGGACAAAGGATGTTATTTTCAACACTGTCTTTTTTTTTTTTAAGTGTGTTTTCCTTCATCCAAGAGTCCAACTTCAGTTCTAAAAGATTAACTGGGTATGAGTCAAGTATGCCTGAAACCTACTTTATAGTCCAATAATGGGATGAAAGCTGAACTGCTGGCCAGAAAGGCAACAGGACATGACATACTGAAAAGATGCCTTCAATTTACTTCTCACCAATGCCCCCTCATTAGCGATTTCCTAAGGCTGATGGGTAGAAAAGATGACAGAACACTCAGTTCAATATTCTAATAAGTCTATTTTTCTATGATTATAATCTTTAGAGCACTTCAGCTTTCCTTCTTTAAGAATGTGTAACAGCAAAATTTCTAAAAGGAGCCTCCATTTTAAAAAGCTGAAACTTGGAGTAGTAATTGAATGGACGTTTTTCTTCCTCTACTCCCACCCCCAAATAACAACCATATTAACAAAGAATCTAGCATCTATTTTATTAATGAGTAATTTCCCGATGAGAAAAGCTGCCTTTCATGTACAGGGATCACCCTCACCTTTCATTCAGCCTCTGGCTGCCTCATCACCAGCGGGATGCTACTCCTGAGGAAGACGAGAGCCCAGCAGAGCGAGCCCTCTTTCTCGGCATCTGTTATTTACAGGGTTTCATGACCACTTCAGTAAAACTTCCAAGAAACTTCCTTTTAGATGAGATAAGATGAATCACTCCTGTAAAAATTCCTACACAAGAACCTACCTGGGAGGTAGTGGTGGTACAAGTAACTGGCTCAGAGTAAAAGTCGGCATTGTGGATCTTTCAAAGAACTGATAAAGCAGAGCCCCAAAAGCCTTGAAATTTCCCAATTTTTAGGGTGGACTCTGCCATTTGTTAGGGCTAATCAGCATTTGGAAATACAGATGACACAGAGAAGGGAGGCACAGGCAAGCCAAGAAGAGGTAACTGTGAACTGAAGGCATGGAGGCCGAATGATGCAGGTTATACTTGAGAACAGCAGGCTGCATGAAGACAAAGTCGTGGAGAAAGGTTAAAAAAAATGAGCCAGGCTAGAAAGAGCAGGTTTTATTTTTAGCAGAATAACATGAGCCAGGCTGTGCTTTAGGCAGAACAGTCTGGCTGTGATGGATAGAAGTACTGACAAGAGGGGAATAAAAGCAGGCAGTACTTAGGGAACCACTGCAGGAGTTTCAAGGAGAGCTAATTAGTGCCTGGCAAGAACAACGTAAGCGGAAAATGGCAATGAAAGGAGGAGTCCAACTTGAAAAATGCCATGGGGAAGACTCTACTGTCCACAGCAACTGATGACATGGGGATACAGCCGAGGAAGAAGACAAGTACGTTAACCATGAGGGTTCTGGTCTGGACCACTGGAAGGAAGGTGACAGAAAACATGGGAAGAGAGACAGATTCTGGAGGGCAATGCACGGGTTCAGCTTGGAACTTCATATAACCTGGAAGGCTGGACACCTAAGGCTGGTGATGCTGAAAGCCATGACCCCATCTCCTGTGGCCTACTCAAGAATTTATTTAGCTCCTCAAGATCTCTAGTCCCTTACCTCCCATTCAGTCTTGAACTTACTCCAGTTTAGCTTCTTGACCCCACCACTGCACGATCAAGGTCACCAACAATAATCATGTTGCCAAATGCAATAATCTGCTCTCATATTCACCTGAATCCCCGGGCAGCATCTGATCCAACTGGAGATTCCCTGAGCAAGTTTCCTCTAGTTTTTCTCTTACTTCCTCCTTTTCCTTTGCTAGCTTCTCTACCACCTCCAGACCACTAAAACTAGAGCACTGGTTCTTGACCCTCTTTTCTCAACTTAGCATTCTCTCACAGGGCAGTTATATCCAGCTACGTAGCCTTAAATATCAAATATGTGCTGACTTTCGGATTTATATTTCCTGTCCTGATCTCTTCTGTAAGTTCCAGACTTTATGCATCTGCCTGTTTGCTTGCTCTGCTCTGAAGTGGAGTAGGCTCCTCAAATATTTGCAGAACAGCCTATTCTTCCTCCAGTCTCCTTCATCTCAAAGCTATTACCAAGTTCCTCAACCACTGGTTTACCCATTTCCTCATTCTTCACATCCAATCCATCAAATAAATTCTGTCAATTCTATCTCAAAACTATCCATTTTCTTACACTGAGTGTTTGTTGAGCTCAATCATTCATTCAACAAAAACTTATTGTACCTAAGACACTAAGAATAATGCTAGGTTTGGGATATACCTTCTCCATAACCTCAAAAAAACTCTACAGGAGAGACAAAGAGGTAAAGCAACAGCTGGAAGTCAATGTCCTAGATTAGGGCTCTGGTAATGACTTGCTGAGGATTCTCTAGAAATAAAGAGGAGAGAGCAACTCATACTCTTTGGTTTGACAGGAAAGGCTTTTTGGTGTATTGAACTGAGTTTTGAAGTAAAGTACAACTGGTGGTGATGATCATCATCTCACACGCCATTTACTGAGAACATGGCAAATATTTTACCCTGAACTATTACATCATACTCTCTCAATTAACCAAAAGAAATGCATACATATGCAGTTTTCAGTTTTGGTCACTTGTCATTTATTAGAAATGCAGTGACACTAGTCAGTGTGAAGCAGTCTTCAAGTTCATCTTTTCCATGAAGATTTCCTGAACATCCAACTGGCAATCTCCCATTATCCAAACTCTATCAGCACCTAACTCAGTCAGTATATCGCCCCTAATGCACTGCCCTGTCATACCATACAGGTATCATGTCTACGATGACACAACAGAGCTCCTCTCTCATCTGCCCTGATCAGGATCGTGCAGAGCGTCGGGCACAACAGAGACTCGCAAATCCTGGTGTCAAGTACTGTGACTGCAGAATGACTACGAGTATCTGCTTCCTCAGAGAAGCCCTCACTCAACTATAGAGAATTTTACTCTGAGAAGTTTGATCACATAGTATCTCATTTGATAATAACTTGTCATTTGCATTTTAAAAATTTGAGTCTCATTTTCCATTGTGTAATAATATTTTCAGAAGATCAAGTAAGTAGAAAGAATTGAAATGTCCTCTTTTAGATTTTGTCATATTTTAAAATTTAGTCAATTCAGAAATGCTTTTACAAAATTTAGCATAACGAACCCTGAAACTAAACCATTCAATAAATAACACCAGACTCCAAATGTAATAATATTTCCAAAGGGTGAAACTGCTATTTAATCATTTTCTCTACAGGGGTTGAGTTATTAGGGCAGAATAAAAACAAAAAAGGTACCACACTAATAAATAAATCTATCAAATGTTGTAAGAAGTACATTAAGTCTGTATATGTACAGAAATCATCTAAATCAGACTCACAGATGCAAGCTTAATAGATTGGAACCACTGGATAAATATCTCCACAAACACAATCATTTCACAGATGGAAACATACTTTCTCTAAATACTAAACTGCTTCCCCTAGGACAAACCCATGATAAAAAGCTAAACACAATGATTCCATACAGCAAAATGACACACTCAAAATGCCAACTGCAAAATCAACTCTACCACTGTTCTTTACATTTGAAAATGTTTAGGGAAAATTTTTTTTTTGAAGTACAGATCAGCAATGCCTTTTGTATAGAACACATTTGAAGAGCATCCCTTCATTATGGCTGTTATACAGAATCTATTACCATGACTACCTGTTCACAGAAAAGAGCTCACAAGACCTCTTTCAAAAAGGATGACCTACCACTCACTCCTCCCAAGTGCGTGGCACTGTAGCAATCTACAGTAATGAAAACATGAATCCTTACAGGCTTGGGGGGTTTGTGGTTTATTTGGGAGTTGGTTTATTTATTGTGATGGGTGGTAGGTGGCCTGGAGTGGAGAGGGGTTGAGGGGAGAGAGTTGAACATCCAGCTTGAGGTAAATTTCCTAAAAACTGTCTTTATCTGAGAAGACCCTGTTGTCA